TTTTTTGCAACATCTGCAGCCTGTGACATTTTAATCAACTCTCAGGGTGAATAGAAAAAAGAAGCCATAAATTTGAATTGGGATATACCGATGCCCTAGATTTTACCTACTTTCTGCTAAAATTTTAGTCTGTCTTTAGGCACAAGTGCTCAAACTTCAGTGTTAAATTAAATTAAATTGGTGTGAAGCCCTATCTCATATTCTGTGCAAAACGATGGCTTATGAGAAACAGCAGATTTGTGATTGGGTGAATTAGTATGAGACAATAAATTCCTGTTCAACAACCATGGTTCACACCATTTCATTTTAGTTTTTAAGCTCATCTTTTTTGATTACACACACTGCAGCCGTTGCAAGAATGAACTCTTCGTCTAAATGTTCCATCTTGGCAACAATGCACGTTTGGGTGCTCTTCCTTCACATCTGTGTAAAACGAACTGAACGTGTAAACGCCAGATTTTCGTTCAGTTTATTTGCACAGATCTGGCTTGCGCAAGCCAAATCGTTCAGATGGCTTGAGCGTGTAAACGGGCTTTTAGTCGAAAATAATTCGTTCTGAACATCCCATAAATTGCTATGATAAACGTAAAAGTAAATACTAACGATAAGAAGAATTCTCATTAAACAAGTAATTGAGATAATAAGAACAGAAACACATTTACTGAAATTGCTGTTGAACATTGACAAAAACTTTTAGTTAGGTAGTAGGTATTCTAATTTGTATGATTTTATATTTTAATTGCCAATTTTGTAAAAGGTATAATTGAAGTTTAAACTTTTTTTCACGCAGTTTGTCCTTCACTTATAAATTCAGAGACTGAATTGTTCACATTTTCCGAATCAATCCAAGAATCAAAAAGCCTAATGAAATTTGGGCGTGGAATGAAAAATAAGCTAAAAATATAAAAAATGCACTGAACACTTCAATTGCTTAGGTACATTAAGAAAAATAGCGTGATATAGCTTTGACAGGCAATGCATTTTTAGAGCTTAAATAAAAATGTCGATTGAATAAATTACAGTAAGTTTAAGAAAAACAACTTTGAGGGTCTTTTTCGAATGATTGTATTTCTAACTACTGCTACAGATTCTCAATTGAATACAAAAGTATTAAAACGTAAACTGAACATTTATATTAATGGTAAAAAGTGTGTACGAGTACTTGAAAATAAATCTGCTTATCTAATTTGACTCTGCATCATATTTCATATTACATAAGTTTGATATTTATCAACCCCATATGGACTAAATGGATGCAGGCAGCCCAGAAGCACCCCAAACGCTGTAAATATCCAAACAACTAATCTTTACAGCCTAATAAAACAATTTTAATTGCTCAACGATAATAATTTCTGCTAAATGTTTACTTATATCGGAGGAAGTGAAGTGCATAAACCTTTGCCATAAAACCTATGTACTTAACAAGTGTCGTCTGCCAGGCAGTTCAAGTATTTTATGCCTTTTTGGACGTTGATTGAGAGGGAAACCTAAAAGTTTTATTGTCTAGGTTTTTCGAAAATCTATACACTTAACACCAACCATTCAATGGATGGATTATAAAAGATTTTTCTTGCAAATTTAACTACTCTTAGATTTGAAGATGAAATGTTTTGCGAGTGAAAACCATAAATCTGTTTTTAGTGAAAACATTTTATTTTCCTTGTGGTTTATACAAGATCCTCGAGAATATTCTGAAGATTTTCCTCGTCAGTTCAATATCTTGCAATTAACTCACAGGAAAACGTTTTACAAAATTATAAATTTAGAATGTGCAAGTTTTTATGCTTTTACCCAAATATTGTTAACAATTTCTCGTGTATGTAATTTAAAATTGAAAATAAAACTGTATGTTTCTCTCCTTTGTTGAATTGAAAATCATTTTCAGAATTTCGATTTCCGAATAAACCCGTCGAACTATGAATTGCGATCTACAGCATAACACTGGCAAAAAGGTTTGAAAACACATTTAAATCAAACTTATATTGAGCTTTTCTTTGGCTGTTATTGCAACAAAGATTGTTCTCCAAAATTGAAGATTTCTTAATATTTGTAATTGAGAATATATTTTCCTTATCTTGAGCAAGTGAACAAACAAGCCAGTATGTGGTTGTTTTAAGAACAGGTATGACTTTTTCGTTTAAATTAAATCTGAATTACCAAAGTTTTTAAATCTTTTAGACTCATCTGCCAAATAAGGGATGTAATTATCATGTAATATCAGAAATGATTGAGACAAAGGCATTCAACGAGATAACACTCTTCTTAAAACAACAGTTAGCGTTTAAATCTTTTATAATTTTTCTTACAAAGGCTCTCAAATAACCGCTCATTACATGAATTGCAAGCAATCTTAATAGTCAATTACTTGAATATCGCAATGGATGGAAATTTGCAAGCGTTAATTGATTGTTTGCAGCCAAATGCTGACTATGGAAAATATGTAAACTTGATATAGAAACCCTTATTAGGACGATCAATAATAGTAGAGTTACAACTGCACATAGACATTTCCAATTATTTAAAAGCGTTTTGCATCATATTAAATATAAATTATAATGATTTTGTTATTTTAGGCTTAAAGATATTTCGGCAATGGAACCTTATGTTCTCTGCCTCAAACTAATAAAATATCCTTTTAATTGGAAATGTTATTATTAAACTATTTTGAAATTAAACGTGAAATCGACATAGTAAGAGATAATTAAATTTATTATGTTTCCATTACTTCTTTGCCTAAATATACTCTGTTCCCTTCCAGACTCCTGATGATGGCTGAAATATAGTGGAAATCTTGGCTCAAGAACACAGTGGGTTTTTCGCAAGCAAGTTTGACCGTAAACGGCACAATTATTATATGTTATAATTATTGCATACCTAAAAAGCAGTTGCAAATCGAAACCGAAATGAAAATTCGAAAAAAACTAAGAAACGAAAAACGCAAGTCTAACAAATATACTCTTTGCGTTCACATTTATTATACGTTTGTATAGCCTAAGATTAATAGTTATTGTCAATACATTTGACCGGTTTCCATCTATTCATTAAAATATCTTTACAGGTGTAAGATTCAGCTCTGCTTTTCAGATTTAAGTGCCTTTTTATTGAAACTTGCAATTTTTTAATAGTAGAATAAGCTGTTAAAGTATTTAAATTCTTGTTACATTAGATGATTATATAAATTAATTTGTCTCAATGCAAACGGTTGTGGAATCACTGGAAAAACAGTTTCAACTTAATACAATTAACTGTAAATAACAGAAATTATATACCTGATTCAGATCTTTTGCGTTAAAATTTTCTGTAGATTATATTTTCACTTCCATTTTGCTCAACTTCTACTAACAGTTTGTCAACATTTTCAATTTCTTCATTCTCATTCTAATAGCTTACCTTAAGCTTCCAAGCTGTGAATTTAAGTGGTTATCCTGGACAAAGTATATCGGAGTAGGATGATGGGAAATGGATCATATGTGAAGAAGTGGAGGCTTACAAGAGCAAATCAACACTTACGTGAAATAAAGTGAAATTTCTGGAATCTGGCCACCCCATTGATTGCCCATTGACTTGCTAAGAAAAGACTTGATGAAGTGACATGGAAAGAAGGGTCAAGTGTGTGGGTTCGTAGTCGGGCTGTTTACTCGGCGGCATCCTCGATCATGATGGCGAAGTATCGACGATTCGATGACTTTCACAAATTAAAATTTATGTTTCATCTGAGATTCGAGGAGACTTAATAAAGTCTCGAGTCGTGTAATTGACATTGCGTTAAAAACCATCGACGGCATTCGATACGGTGTCTTTCGACCATTTTTTTTTGTTATGGAAAGCAGAGCCTCAAATGATTTGACAGAATGTCTTGACTATGAAATTCATTTGATTTATGAATATATTCATCCATTAATTAATAAACTCAATGATTCGGATATTCCTGTGCACCCCCACCGAGAATATCAATATCAAAGGTTAAATAGCAAAATTGATTAACGGTTATTAACACGAAACCGAAGAGTTGGTTGAAATCTTTCGTAAACAAGCGCGCAAACCAAATGGTCAGATTTTAATGAAAATTTAGATATTTATGTCGAGTGAGGCATTCATATCTGTTCACTCAGAATAATATTTTTGAAAGTAATTTTTTTTACAATTGCAAGTCGATTCTTGTGTTTGAGTAAGATTTCTGATAAAGCCATTGTGCCAAAATAATGGCGCTAGATATTTATTAATAGTTGCTATTGTTTAGGGAAAAATGGAAGTTTTCAGTTTAAAAAATATCGCCTATTTTTTAAATTACAGTTAATTTTTTTAGAAATTTTTAACTGTCTGACTGCTGCTACTACAGAACATTATTAAAATATCAACATATGTATGTAGCTGCCACTGAAGGCGCAGCTTTTGCAGAATTGCATTCAACTATTATTTCGTTAATTGTCTGTTAAAACCCGTAAAGCAATAGCCCAAAAATATATAAAATTAATTATTATTTCATTAGTTGAAATAACTTTGATTGATATTTAAATCTGTGCCATCACAAATTTCATTTTTCAATTATCAAAAGCATTGCCAGTCTCATCGATAGTCGCTTAAATATTTAATCGTATTTTAAGTCCGTGGCTGCATTCATTAACTGTATGCAATTGCAAAGTTAATTCTGCATGTAGAAAATCACTGCTTAAAGCCAAAAGCCAAGTCATCGAATTGTGCAATATAATACAGACAATAAATATGGCGATTACGATTGGAATGATTGGATATTGTGCGATTTATTCATGTCAAGCGAACGGTTAATGGACGGTAATGAAGCAGCAAGCTTCAAAAATAACAAAAAGTTTCAAACTCGCTTAGTAGCCAAGTCTTATTCCTCATGGCTCATATAGTGAGGTTGAGCCTCGACCAGACTGATAAAACTGAATAGGTTTGAAAAACGTAGATATTGTTGGCATTTACTAATTTTCCAATGTAAGTAGAGTCTGGAAATATTTCTATACTTTTTGCCCGGAGCCATTTTTTGGCATGTCATTGATTAATGAAATATATTTTTGAAATGGAAGTGGAAAAGAACTATTTGATTCTAGTGGGAGTAATTGTCATTACACCTAGTTCAATTATAAAATCAAAAAATGAATTTCAGCTAATAGGAAATTTCCTTAGCACACACACTAAACCTTGTTTATTCCCGTTGATATTTAGATTTCATGCAGGACTCGAACAGTCATCACTTTCTGCAGTTTCTGCTCAAGATTACTACCCATAACTACAACAATTCACTTCATATCTGATTGAATTGGTTGATCCTTTCCAAAACATTGCCTATTTAATGATTTTCCGATAGCATGAGGACATAACGAAACACAATATCCTACATAAAAAAATATTTATTCAATAATAACACTAACAAATGAAGATATAAAAGTGAAATCGATATAAACACTTATAACAGCGCTTTTCTGGTTCGATCTTATGGCTTCAACTCTTTTCGCCTTAATAGCTATGAAAACCACTGCACATTATAAATATAAGGAGATTCTTTCGCGTCTCATACAAAATGTTAATTTGATTAACATATTTTAACATTTCTTAAGATGTAATAGAACAAATAATGTGGAACATCTAAAAAAACTGCCAAACGAGTATCGACGTCTAAAATTCAGCTTGCTAGAAAAATACTGTACAACTTAAAAAAAACTTACAAAAATAACCGCAGAAAACTGGTCTAAATGAGTTATGCAATAGAAAGATATTTTATATTTACAAATGTACATTGTAGGTACCTTTTTCCGGTCCGTTCTCGACTGAGAAAGTTCCGAAGATAACTAATTGAGTTAAATAAGAGCTTGTCGCATGTTTGATACAACGTTATCACCAGATTTACATATTATAGTGCGCAGTCCAGGCTTCCGGAGTTGGCACGTCCACTGCACTAAAATTTCCTAAAGAAGAATTGGCGCTGAAGAGCCCTCTCTGCTGCATATATGGATATGTAGGTACATACTGACTGTTTCCAACACAGTAAGAACTAGTGGGCATAGTGGCTTGATACGTATAAGGTACTGAGGTATTGCTATGGGCATATTTTTCATTTTTTATAGCTGACGATTGCAACTCGTGGTATCTATTGTAAGCTGATGCCTCATCATAAGAATCTTGATGCAGAACACTGCCTTCGAGGCAAGGTCTTTTGGATTTGTAGTTATTATTACCTTCATCCTCATGGGCAGGCTTATGATAAGCTGAATAATTAGAATAATGACTTTCGGATGGTAAATACTGGTCTAGATCACTGCTATCCAACCCATCTTCAGCAGTATAAATTCCATAACTGCTGTCAAGCTCAGGGATTCTATGGTACGTATCCAAATCGAGACCATGACCATCGCAGGGCTTCAGCAACGAATGAGTGGTGATTTGAGGACTGTTTGGTTGGGACGAGCATGTCGATGGGCTGGTTGAATTTTGACTTCTCGGACTGCAAGGGGAATCTTCCTGTTTTAAAGACCGCGAAAATGTGGCGGTTTGGTTATGAACACTCTGTAGATGTACACCATCGCCAGGCTTATTCGGTTTCCGTCGCCTGGGTTGATATTTGTAATCCGGATGTTCCCGTTTGTGGATCTCACGCAGTCTTTCTGCCTCTTCGATGAAAGGTTTCTTGTCATTTTCGCTCAAAACTCTGAAACAAATTACATTTTTAAGACTAATCTTCAGCTTAGTTTTCTGCAAACTTTTGGCGCTCAAATTGTTGAGCTGGGAAAATGATAACCTTAAATGAAAATTGCCTCTTGCTCTCAGGTATGGAAGATATTTGCAGAGAGTAAAAATTTTGATTGAACTAACAATATTTTGGTCAATTTCGTCCAAAATTTCAGCAATCAAGTACACTTTCATAAATACTACTTAAAAAAAGCTAAGGGTTTTCAACGCTTAGAGTACAATTATTATAATTATGATACAATATATAAATTATGATGACGCCAGTTTGGTCGATTTATTCTTACAAAAAAATGCCAATAAATAGACATCAGGAGAGATAGAGGATCAATACGAATGATCGGTCTGTATTATGGAACCGAAATTGTGAAATGGTCGCTGAACGATGCTGAAGTACACGCAATGATGTAATTCAACTTCCAGATGAGTTTAAAGAAAACAAGAATGGAAACAGGAACGAAATAAATATTAGTGAAAAGAAAAACATTCATGTAGTGACTTCTAGTACATAAAACGACGAAGATGCAAAAAAATCAAGCAAGAGATGAAAGCAGCTAAACATGTGTAAATAATGTGTTACATGCTTAAAAACGGATTGGAAGAAAAATATTTTCAAGTCTAAATTGAGGTGTTTAAAAAAAATGAAAAAGACATAAACATTCCACCCCACCCGCAGCTTAACAATCTCATTGGATTCATGGATTCATTAATTCATCATCGGTTGGATTTTGTGACGTAATTGTCAGCACATTTTTTTGAAAACGTTCAAACTCACAATAACACACAGAACATAGTAAAAACTACAGAATTGTAGAATATGGTTTATACCAGTTCGCTTGTAACTATTGCTCATTAATCTGAAAATATCGATAACGTATGATTTTAAAGCTGTATTCAAATTAATCTTGGCTTCAGGTGTTTGTACTGTATATTAAACGCATTTACATATAAATTGTTTATCCAGGATATTTTTAGAACAGAATCAAAATATGCCTAGAAACTACGTAGATAATAGATCTGCGTTAATGTTGGGAAGGATTACCAGATACCTTAGTATACACAGCTGCTTTTTAGTTCTCAAACTTATCGATTTAGGAAACGGGTAAATTACAGAGCAAACAAAGGGTTGCATATTACTTATTCTAATACGACAATCTGCCTACAATCTTATCGAACGGAAAAAAATATATGGTAAGAAAGGGGAGATAATACTAGCTCTTCCGAAAATACGAATTCAGTTCAAGTTTTTCCGGTTTAGTGAAATTTTATCTAGGTTTTATGCAAGGTTACATTAGAGCGACTGATAATAAAATAATATATTTGCTACACAATTTTTAATGGAATAAAGGTCCCAACTCGAATGCTTACTCGGGAACAAACTCCGGATTAAATAAAATAATTTCCTTGATTGATATTAAGTTTGGGCAATGCCCCATAAATACAGATGAACTAATTGCCATTCACTGATAAATTTAGAAAGTTTTTCAACTTTAAAATGAATAAAATCACCTGGCATTCTTTTCTAATTCGGAATCACCAGATTCGGGCCTTTGCCTATTAACATCAGATTCGGCGCTATTCCTTCAAAATTGACTGTTATTGACTCAAGAAAAAATTCAACTAACTCAGTTTCACTTTACAATTAACACAATCATATTGTTTCAATTACACAATGGTAGAAAGACTGCATTAGTCACGAAGAAGAAATTAGCGCCTCCACCTAATAATTGATTGCCATTGGTGAACTCAACTTTTTATAGCGTTAGGTAAAGGAAGAAAGTACCGCTTTTAATAAATTGTGAGTAATGTTCGTAATTGTAAGAAAAAGCTGGAACTAGGAATGAATTGTATTTTCAATAATTTGCATTTTGCCACTATGGGATGGAAAAGGTAAAATAACACGAAGTGTTCACGAATGTCTACAATTTATTGGCACTATATGAACTTGTTGAGTACGTCGTATATTAATAAAATTTGATTTAGTCAAAAATGTTACTTATTGTAGAATAATAAAAAAGCAACTCCAAGTTGACAAGAGCTGTTTTCGAGCTTTAATCGTAAATGTTATGGCGGAAAAGTGGCAGTATTTTTCATTTGATAGAAGTTATAAAACTCCCTTGTAATTTTTGGTTTAATTAATTTATCTTTGATTTTCAAACTGAAGGTGAAGCACCTGAAGCCTACCAAAAAGCTGGTGTTTACAAAAACCCCTCTTTTGTTCATATCAGTTTCAAGTTTTCGAAAATATTTCCTATTTATCTGCATTGTTTGTCAAAGTTCTTTAGCATACGAGTAAGAAACGAACTCGGTATTTATTTCCATCATTATTGCATTTAAATATAGACACACAGACGTTAGATTTACCATATGAATGTGTCCACCACGCCCTCAAATATTGTCTCATTTGATCACAAATATGTTTGAAGCTAAATTGATTACCAGTGCCTGAAATTCATCTTTAATTTGCTAGGTAAATTTAAAAAATCGTAAGTAACACGATCGCAAATAGACCCAGACATTTTTTATTTTACCCCTTCTCTGAAAACTGCTTCTCCATGGAGTGCAGTAACTTATTGTGCATGTGTTATATATTGTCCACAAATGATAGCATCAAATCAACTTTTCATCAAGCAAGCAGTGAGAAACATAAATTAATTTTATGCCAGAACAAATATTTCTCCTTAAACTAGAAACGAGTTGACAAAAATCTTCTACAAACACTTACGCTGCCAAAACTCATCACACAATGTCCAACTTAAAACGCCAAAATTTTCAAAAATGCTCTTTGGAATGAAGCGTCTACATAGCCGCTCAACCGTACCGTGATTAATTAGGTCTGACCGATATTTTTTCGCAATGAAGAATAACTTACTCGTTACCAAACATCCTGTATATCAGCCACATGTTTGCTGTTTCTCAGTTGAGTAGCTTCTACGAAGCGGGAGTAATCAAATCATATGCGAGATTCTGGGCCACATCAGTATGAAATTATGCTTACGCTTATCGAATGCAAGTTATAAATTTTATGATTTTAATTATCGTTGGTGAACCGCCACGTCCGTTCTAAACTGATTCATCTGATAAAAGAACGGAATCCAATGCACCACAATATTTAAAAAAGATATTATAAATGATACGACTGTGGGTGGATTATATCTTAAACCTGCTCATAGTGCAGTGTAAAAAAATATTTTTGAGAATCAATATCAAAGGACATGTCATATTATGACTATCAGCGATTAACATATAATATTCCTAACTTTTATATAAGATTACTGAAATATGACGGGCATTTTGTTTGGCGCGTATTCGGACTATCTAATGTTATGATCTACATCAACACTATTATTAATAAGATATCATTATCGTCCCAAAGATATAAATATTATGAGTTCTTGGCACGAGCAAACATATTTTGCAAAGCCCATTGCAAGTTGCAGCGGCCATGAAGTTTTACTAGGATTATTAATTACGGTTGGCGATTCTAATTGCATCTTTAAGAAAAGTTTTTTTAATCCGTTGTACAGAGCGCTGACAAGCGGATATGTATCTTGAATGACAAATACACCACGATTTTTATCGTGATTTAAATGCTAAATGACTGTAGCACGATATTCTGTTGCCGATAGGACCTTTTATTTATTTAAGCCGTGGTAATCTCGATTTTAAGGTGTGATTGTTACGTAAAACTTAAGAATACTGCAAAATCATATCGTTTGCGAGTTTTCAGCATATTTTTTGTTTCCGTTTAATCAAATTTTAAACAAAGGATCGTAAATATTTACAGCCTAATCAAATTAACAACAAACAAACTGAAACAACTGTACTTCATTAATTCTACATTCTGTATTGTTTTCGTGGCAATTAATTCAATAAGATGCTTGCAAATTTTGCAAAATTCGCTCACTTATTTTCAGCAGTTTTATTAATTTACATTTTGTCAATTTTATTGTGTTCATTAAGCAATAGGGCACTATAAAAGTAGCCGAAACTGAAGTTTTTTAATTATCCACAAATCTTACACTCGATTTAAGTGCTTTTTAAGATCTTAGTAAAAAATTATATAGTTCTAACAAGGAATTTAAATTTGCATTTAGACCAGCCAACAATAATATAGATGCAAAATATTTCACAAGACTAAAAAAATAATTCAAAAAATATTTCAACATTTCGGAAGTTACTACAATTGGAACGGAAATCTAATCAAAATATAATTAATGTAGCTTACAATAGTTAATTCAACAACCATACAGATAGAAGACATATTTAATATTAATAAACAAAATAAAGATACATCGATATATTTTACCTAAGTAAATGACACCAAGAGAACATTGATGGAAGATTTGAAGTGCTCACCATGTATATTTTTGAGAAAGCAAAAAAGAGATTTCCCTCCTGTGAGAATCTGAATATTGCACAAGTGTATTTTCCAACAAGCGAGGCGCCAGACGATGAGATTGAAGAACGCTATTCTCAACTTTTGGAGACTTTACCAAATCGAGAAACCACGATGATAATAGGAGACTATAATGCCATAGTTGGAAGAGAAGTTGGAGATGAACACATACGCAAAGTGATCGACAAATACGGTTTGGGAGAAAGGAGACACCAGAGGAGAACCATTGCTGCAATTCTGCACTGAGAATAACTTTTTGATTATGAACACAGGATATGAACATCATGCAAGTCGACTAACACCTGGACGTCCTCTGGAGACCTATATAAAAATCAGATAGACTACATCTTAATAAAATCCAGGTGGAGGACCTCAGTTAGGAATAAATACTAAGAGGTCTACGCAAAAAGATTGCCATAGTGATTACCAATTTCTCGCAGTAGAGCTCCGCATAAAATTAACTAGGTCGCAGCCTACCAAAACCTTCAGAAACTTGTGGGGCCTTAAACATAATGAACATTTCAAAACAAGGGCAAATATAGAAATCTCCAAATAAAACCCAC